ACTGAAACTTGGCCAGAACAGCAATAGCACTTAGACTTATTTTTTTTATAAATATTTTATTATTTTTTTAATTTTACAATCATGAGTACTTAATAAACAATGTGTTGTCTGGGTCCATTGGTAATTCACTGGTACATATTAATTTTCTCAGTCTAGTTCCAATACTACACCATCCAGCACTTCCTTGGTCCTCTCTTCTTCCGGTGGTATGTATTTTTCCTCACTGAGCAAATACAATTCTTGTTACTGTTAATACATATACAATTAAATATAGACTTCACCACATTTTTCTGGTATTATACATAATATTGATAGTGTCAGTTTATAATATCTTTTTTAGCCAGAACATATCTCAATTGCATTTGCACTTAACATCCATTTGTTCAATCAATATCCTGTTTTTCTTGCTTTTTTAAAATTTTAATTTCCCATCAATGTTCAAAATAACTGTCGCTTATAATTTTCTCATAATAAATTATATTTGGGTAATCAAAAGCATGTCTTATTCAAATCCTTTTAGAATTTTCATATTTTCCATCTCATAACAAAGTATAATATTCTAATTACAAATCCTATCCTTCTAATTATAATAATACTTTTATTTCTAACAGTTATCTATTTTCTTAACCATATTCAAACTGTTTAATAGTATAATATCCCATCTAATAGGTCAAAACCTCTATTTTCTTCAGTCTTACTCTAGCTTTCTTCCTTTGCCAAATAACTTTCCAAGTCAGTGCATTTGAATAATCAAGTAATTCTTCCTCTGTTTTTGTATATATTATTTGGAATGAGGAAGAGAATTTGATTGAAATATTTTTGAAAGAACACTCAACCCATTTATATTCATTAAACAGCCTCCATCTTTCTCCTTCAGTTTTACTTTTCATTTCTTGTTTGTCAATATTCAACATTTTTCCTAACAGCTTTAACATCTGTCCTCCATCTTTGGATCTGTTTCTTCTAATTTTCCTTCTGTTTTCGGGTTACTAGTTCCTTCTTTGTAGTCATTGTCTGGATTTGTAAGTTTAAGTTAGAAAATTGTTCTTTTATCTCACTTGCATTATTTTAGTCTCATCATGAAATAAAACAATTGTCTTTTGGATTGATTTCAACATAGAATTTCTTTCTGAGATCCATTAACATTTTCTTGTTGGTATATCAAGCTGGAGTCTTTGGAGACAAGTGAAAGATAGTTTTCTACCATCTTTATAGTCCAATAGGGTCCCCAAAACAGATAAGTAGCCCAAGAGTTTTTTTTCCCTTTTCCCAGCTGCAGTCTGCAAAAGTGAAAGTTTCCAGGAACAACAAAGAGTCTTATCTAAGTCCAGGCTTCAAGCCACGTTTCCTTTAAGCATAATAAATTGTAGTACCATAATTCACCACCAGATGTCACTGACATCATCTTCAAGCTTTCCAAATCCAAGCCTATTTTACAGACTTTAAATATGTTTTCTAAAAAAAGTCTCAAAGGTAGTTTTAGTCCCCAAATTTCAAAGCTATGTATCTGTATTAATTCCAAATTGATCTTGTAGTTTTCTCTATTTTTCCCCAAAGCAATTAATTTGCCACTTTTCTTTTCCTGAGGGAGTGGAGCAAAAACTTCCCTTCCCTCTCTCATCAGGGAGGATTCTTTGCTTTGGGCATTCTTTTTTCCAGGAGAGTAGTATTAAGTCATAAAAAGAAGATTAAAGTCTCATCCAGTTCCATCCTCGTAGCTCAAAAATTGCTAGTTAGTGCTTATCTTCGGTTGTCAGCAGCTTCTGATGGGCCACACAAATTTAGACAGTCTTTCCCCTGCTGGTTTGGAGGGCTTCCTTAGATCAAACGGAAGGGCCTCCCCCCACCGTGATTGATGAGGGTCCTCTCCTTCTTCGTCACCTCTCTGGGGGACTTTCGACTCTTTTTAGGTGAAATTGAACGTGGAAGACAGAGCCCCATCTTCTTACGCCCGTCACACCACGACACCTAACTAGAAGTCAGCACTTAGACTTATATATCATTTCACAGTGCTTTACAGCCCTCTCTAAGCAATTCATAGACTCAATATATTGCCCCAACAATCTGGGTCCTCATTTTACCAACCTCAAAAGGATGAAAGGCTGCGTCAACCTTGAATGGTGAGACTCGAACTGCCAAAATGCTGGCAGTCAGCAATCAGCAGAATTAGCCTACAGTACTGCATTCTAATCATTGTGCCACCACAAGTCATTTTATAATTAAGCTTGGAAGATTACTTTAGTTGATATGTTTCTTTAAACAGATTCTATACCATCTGTTCATAGATTGTTTTAAATTATATTTTAATTGACCATAATAGTTTATCTCTTTTGAATATCTAGGAGATAGAATATAATAAAATCGAGTCTGTTATTACAATGTCTGGTAAAGTACACCTGAGAGGCAAGAATGTCTATGTAAGTTTAAACTTCAACAAAATTATTTTACATGGATTACTCTGAGTTTGTGGGTGGCAACAAGATTTTAAAGGATAGGTATGTTTCCACAAAATAAATTTGAAACAAGTGATGGTACTTGTCTCCAAATCAATATTGGTTTCAGCAGAGGTCATCAAATTCTCTGCTCATTTAGAATTTTTCAAGATTGTTTTAACTCAAAAAACTTACATGGGAAGCTGGCACTCTACAAGGCTTTCATCTTAATGAAAAAGTCCTTTCGACTCCAAACACATTCTTAGAGAATTAAAAAAAAATAATAGATGGCTGAACCCAGTGCTTTGTTTGGTAGTTTATCTGCCCAGGGGAAGAAAAAAAAAAACAATGGGTAGTAGAGAAGGCTAAAGGGAACAACTTCAATTCTTTGTCTTCTGGCAAACGGCTAGGTAAATAGCTGCTTGTCCCAGGGGAGCCTTTTTATTATTATGTATTTGATTTGTGCCCAGAGATAATTCATTTCTGCCAAGAGGGCATTCTTTATGAGAGTGCTGCCAAAAAAGCCAACACAGTGCTAGGCTGTATTAACAGAGGGATAGAATCAAAATCATGTGAAATATTAATACCACTTTACAATGCCTTAGTAAGGCCACACTTGGAATACTGCATCCAGTTTTGGTCACCACGATGTAAAAAAGATATTGAGACTCTAGAAATAGTACAGCAAAGAGCAACAAAGATGATTAGGGGACTAGAGGCTAAAACATAAGGAATGGTTGCTGGAATTGGGTATGTCTAGTTTAACGAAAAGAAGGACGAGGGGGGACATGATAGCAGTGTTCCAATATTTCAGGGGCTGCCACAAAGAAGAGGGAGTCAAGCTATTTTCCAAAGTGCCTGAAGGCAGGACAAGAAGCAAGGGTGGAAACTAACCAAAGAGAGAAGCAACCTAGAAGTAAGGAGAAACTTCTTGACAGTTAGAACAATTAACCAATGGAACAACCTGCCTCCAGAAGCGGTGAATGCTCCAACACTGGAAGTTTTTAAGAAGAGACTGGACAGCCATTTGTCCGAAATGGTGTAGGGTTTCCTGCCTGAGCAGGGGGTTGGACTAGATGACCTCCAAGGTCCCTTCCAACTTTATTATTATTGTTGTTGTTGTTATATGATCTAAAATTGCCTATGTGCACGTCTGTCCAAAAAGGTTGTTTACTTCTAAATTAGAGCATGTTTCTGAAGAAATGTTCATCATTCTCACTGTGATGCCTCAGGATTGGCTTTCAGCTCATGCACAATGCAATTTTGTTTCTTGCATTCTTGGTTGCTGTGGAAATTAGGAGATGCCAAGAGTCATTGAAAATACAGAAAATGCTCCATATGATCTATAGGTTGCCATAAATCATTATTTCAATATAAACTTTCGATCGAGATCTTCCTTGTTGTTTTGTTGCTGTTGTTCTGAAGCAAACATCTATCCTACTCTGCAAGAAAGGTAGGATAGAAAAGCAAGAAAAAGCTTTTCTAACTAAAATGGAAAAGTAAATACAGTATATTGTTTAGTTCAGTTTTTTCCATAGACTTAACATTGATTTAAGACTTAATATTGCTTTCTGTAAATTAATCCAAAAGAGATGGTCTAGGAACAAAAGGAAAATGTGATTGTAGAATAATTCAAGTAAATCATTTTTATAATTACCTTTTTAATTTATTTTACTCAGAGATTCAGATACAAAGTCATAACCTGATATTTATTTAATTCTGCATAATTGGTATTGTTTTGTGACATACCATGCAATCCAATTCTGTGTATATATGCCAGAAGTTAAATCCCAAAGTGTTTTATGAAAATTGTTCCTTTCTGGACTATAAAATAAATGCACAATGTCGTCACAATAGTAATTTCATATTATTTATTATTACAAAATGATCTTTCAGATAAGACTGTACCATACGTGCTGTTCTTCTGCTCATGTGTTAGGAACAAACTGGTACCTCTGCACTCAAAATCCATGAGACTAAAATAATGAAAGACAGCTTATTGAGAATTTTCCCCATCTAGTTACTATTGTAAACTAGGATTTGTAGTGTTTTGAGTGTAGCACATATGTAGAACTTAATTGGAAAACATAATGTACTTAATAAAGTTCCTCTAATCCACTGTGTCCATTCCTGTTTTAGAAGAACTCAACTTTTTCATTGCTGCTCTTTTCTTGCTTAATAACATTTAAATGCTTTTCATTACCAATCTGAAATATTTTCACGTGTCTTTTTTAAAAACTCTTAGCTGCTTAATATGCAAAAAGTGGAGTGTAAATAGCTTAAATGAAATACAGGTAGTCCTCGACTTACAACAGTTCATTTAGTAACCATTCAAATGGCGTTGAAAAAAGTGACTTCTGACCCTTTTTCACACTTAGCGATACTTGCAGCATTCCCATGGTCACATGATCAAAATTCAGATACTTGGCAAGTAACTCATGACAGTTGCAGTGTCCTGGAGTCATGTGATCACCTTTTGTGACCTTCTGAGAAGCAAAGTCAATGGGGAAGCCCGATTCACTTAACAGCCATGTTACTAATTTAGCAATTAGTGTTTCATTTAACAACTGTGGCAAGAATGGTCATAAAATGGGTCAAAACTCACTTAACAAATGTCTCGCTTAGCAACAGAAATTTTGGGCTCAACATTGTGGCTGTAAGTCGAGGACTACCTGTACTCCTGTAGCACAAGTCCTCTAATAGCCCAACACGGTTCTCCCCCACTTTTTGTCTTCTCTGCAGGTGAGCAGGCGGCCAGGAGCAAAAGCCTCGTCTCCCGATCCATTCACGAGAGTTCTGCTAATTCAGCAACTCCCGCTTCCTGCGTGACCCAACAAAGCGCGGGAATCCTCCTTGGGCACAACGATGAGCTAGCAGAGCCTGCGGCTCGCGAGGGAAAGCGGGCCTCGTGCTGCTGGTTGGCTGGCAGGCAGCCGCCGCTGTTGCTCAGACGCCGGCTCGGGCGTGGGGCTGCTGCTCTCTGCAGCCAAGCGCTGCCCTGCTCAAGCTGCTCTGCCGAGCGAACGTTAGCCTGCCAGGGCCAGAGGGAAGCCGGGAGGAAGCGCAGCCGGGCGGCCAGACCATGCAGCTCTACTTCTGGTGATAGGCATGAGCCCCTTAGAGAGCTCAAGATGTCTTTCAAGGTAAGTCCGCAGTCGAGCTGTGCCGGCCGATGCTGCCTGCTTCTGCGAATGCTGTTCTCCCGCTAACATTGCAGGCAGCCGCCGGCGCAGGCCTGGTGGAGCGACTGCCTCTTGACGTTAGCCTGGGTTGCAGAAGAGCAGACGACATGGGAGCCGGGGAAGAAACCGGCTGCTCCAGAAAAGCGATCTTTGGCGTGTCACCGCTCGCCGCTGGCGGTGGAGGCAAGCGCTGAAAGATGAAGCGTGTGTGGCTGGGGCGAGTCCTTCTTGTCTGCATTCATCTTAGACCCGCGGGGTTTTCTGTGCGTGTAGATAGAAAATGAGTCCGGTCAAGAAGTCATCGCACCCCGCTCCCTCCCCGCCTTTCCGTTTAATGTCACTTATAAGGGAGACGGCTCGCGTTCAAAAGACACGGGAAACGGCTTGTTTTGAATTTATACGGAAAGTGGTGCAAAGTCTGTTGTCATTGAGAACTGTCAGTCAGAGAAGCATTCTGGGAGGGATCTTTCCGCAGAGTACATAAATTGTTATTTATTTAAATGCATTAGTCACCCAACTCCAATGGAGTTTAAGAGGTAAGTCTGATGGAGGCTGGTAGGAAACACTGGTAGGCCTGAATTTTATAATCATCATCATCATCATCATCATCAATCTTTCCATATGCAGTCTTGGCACCCCAAAAGCAACTCACTGGATTTTTTTAAAAAAATAACATACTGATTATTAAAATATATATAACTAGATTCCTGGCCAATTTTTGCTGAAACCAGTTGGCTATAACTCCATCTGGCAAAAAAGCCACACAAGGCAGGGTTGTTCTGCCTGTTAATTTTTTCAATGGGTTGAAAGCCATAATCAGAAGAGTTTTTTCTAAATCTTTATGGTGCATTTCTCCACATGACAACTTTACCATAACAAGATATTTTAAACTGGATTAGTTACCTGCACTGAAAGATACATAAAGATGTATAAAGTTCTGTTTTATGCAGTTATCCACAGAATCCCTCCATGTCAGGAAGAGACCTACATAGGTATCTCCAAATAAAGCTCTTCTTGATGATACATAGACCCCCTCATACTGGGAAAGGGATAGTGCTGGGATAGGATGAGATGGGTGGAAGAATTTAATTAGGGATTATATGTTGGAAGTTTAACTTTGGAGCCATGTTTTTCATTTTTACTGTTTTAATAGCCTTAATATGGTTTTTGTTTTATAATTGATATTGTTTTAATTGTTGACTGGGAGCTGCCCAGAGTTCAATGTAAGATGGGCAGCTGTGTACATTTGTCAAATAAATAATACAATTTTTACAGCACCAAGAGGTTCAAGTTATATAAGGAGATCATATATTTGTATCCCACCTTATTATGAAATAACTCAAATTCATATACCTTCCTCTTCCTGTTTTTATCACAACAACTTCTCTGGGAGGGCTGAGAGAAAGTGACTGGCCCAAACCCAGCTAACCTTCATGTCTAAGGTGATGCTGGAATTCATAGTCTTGTAGTTAAGGAACAGTAGCCTGGTTCCTTAACCACTAGATTCAAATTAATCCCTGTGCTCGCCCAAAGAATTAGTTCTTGTTGCTCCATCTTTCCTACCAATCTTCTGCCACCTGGATTATAAAGTTATTTTCTTTAGACAGTGTGGGTTCTCAGTGTTTGAGGAAAGCATTAAGGTAATATTGTTCTGATTTTGGAATATGTTTTCAAATACATTGGTCATGCAGGCTGTCTCATTCAGCATTAATTTATGGTACAGTATTGTCTCCTTGATTATGATCTACATCAGTGGTTCTCAACCTGTGGGTCGGGACTCCATTTGGGGTCGAACGACCATTTCACGGGGGTCGCCAAACAACACAGTCTGCCATTTTTTTCCCCTTTTCCTTAGCTGTGCTACTCCCTTTTATTCTATTGGCTTTTGAAAGCCAATAGAATAGACTCTCTTGAATAGAGTCTAATTCTATTGGCATTCAAAAGCCAATAGGAATTGTCCAGGCTTTCTCTGCCCTGCTGAACCCGCCAAAAGTCCCATTCTGCAAACGGTGCTGCACCAGTTGAGTAGTCCTCAACTTACGACCGGTTGAGTAGTCCTCGACTTACGACCAGTTGGGGGTTGCGGCATTAAAAAGGTTGAGAACCACTGATCTACATGATCTATGAGGGCCTTACTTACATGGGAAAGACTTGATGCAAAAAATCATTCTCCTGTGTTAGGTATGTAGCCAACATTCTGTGTCTTATCTCATAGAAAAATCTTCACACTGACCAGACTCTATGCTTGGCCTCCTTGTCACTGGAAGAAGATTTAATAACCCCTGTGTAAGAGCACTACCTGACAGACCTGGGTGAATGGGAACTCCATAGATATTATCTAACAGAGAAAATGGTTACTGATGCACAGTGGATTTCCACATCTGCACTGCCCTTTTTATCTGGCCTGATTAGCAGATCTTTCTAATAGCCATGATAATTTGAAAAGGAAGAATGACTATACTTTTTCTGGATAATCAAATGTGCCAGATAGATAATTAGATAATACTTAAATTTAGTTTTCTCATCTGTTTTAATGTATATCTTTACATATTCTTGTTCTTTGATTATGGATCATGAGGATGATGATGATGATGAAGAAGAATATAGAATGCAATTTATTTCCAAGTGAAGGGAAGTTGATTGATAGTGGGATTCCAGGGTTTCAGAAAACATTCCCATTACCTGTTACTTCATTCTTAAAACAGGTCTTTGTATTGAGGGTTAAATCCAAAATCCCTTGAATGGAGAACAAGGCAAAAGTTTGCAATAAATACAGTTAATCCTCGATTTATGACCTCAATTGAACCCCAAAATTTCTGTTGCTGAGTGAGACAATTGTTAAGTGAATTTTACAATCTTTCTTGCCATAGTTGTTAAGGGAATCAACCATGATAATTTAGTAACACGGTTGTTAGAGAAACTGGCTTCCCAACTGACCTTGCTTGTCAGAAGGTCGCAAAAGGGGATCACATGACCCCAGGACATAGTAACCATCATAAATATGAGTCAGTTGCCAAGAGTCTGAATTTTCATCACGTGATCATGGGGATGCTGCAGTGGTCATAAGTGTAAAAAACGGTCATATGTCACATTTTTGAGTGCTGTTGTAATTTTGAACAGTCACTAAATGAACTGTTGTAAGTTGAGGACTGTCTGTAACATTCTAGAATTTCATGAATTTGCTTATCGCATTTAATATACAGGTAATCCTCACAATCACTCATTTAGTGACCATTCAAAGTTACGGCACTGAAAAAAGTAATGTATTAGTGGTCCTTGCACTTATGAGTGCCACAGCATCCCCGTGGTCATGTAATCAAAATTTAGGTGCTTGGCAACTCGCATATATTTACAATGGTTACAGTGTCCTGGAGTCACGTGATCACCGGCCAGCTTCCAACCACCAAATCAAGGAAGAAAATGGATCTTTTTAATGACCACATGATTCACTTCTCAACAGCAGTGATTTGCTTAACGGCCATGGCGAAATTGGGTACAACCAGTGCTTTTTTCTAAAAAAAAAAAAAAAAAAAGGTGCCAGAACTCACACATATCATACAACCCGCCTGGCCTACCCTACAAGGTTCCATCCAAAAAAGGTGCTGGAACTCCGTTCTGGGCGTTCTATGAGAAAAAAAGCCCTGGGTACAACTAATTTAAGAACCCCTTGCTTAACAATGGAAACTCTGGTTTCTGGTCTCAATTGTGGTTGCAAGTCGAGGATTACTTGGTACTATAAATTTCTAATTGCTTTAAATATAATTCCTAATTCAAGAAAGCACTAGAGACACTTGGCCGGATTATCATTCAGGAATGGGGAGATTAATGCTACTCTTCTGTAGTCCAGTACATATTTGTTTGAGAATAACCCCACTGAATTAAATCGGGCTTTTACAGGTTGCAGTGTTATGTTTTCTGGTTGATGTTAGTAAAGGGCCTTATCAGAAGGGAATGAACGGACATTACATTAGCATCCCTGAGATACCCCTGTCAGTCCACATATTTACATCCCCATGAATGCAAATGGCACCTTGGAATGATGCCTCTTTGCCTGCAGGATAGGCTTTCCTATTCTCAACTCTATAGCAAAAGAAGAGTAGTTATTCACTGCATAGGGGTTACTAAGTAGGATCTCTCCTTTCCTTTTTTTGTAGTGTCATTGAATCTTGCCTGAAAAAATGCCAATGCTCCAATAAACAGATAAATGTCAGCTAGATATTTTTGTATTATGTTTCAAGATAGTATTTTAAGTACATAATACTATAAAATGCTGGATTTTTCATACTGTCCCCATAAATTTACACAAATGTTTTATCATAACCTCTCAAAATACTGTATATTTGCTCCCTGGAGATTTGAGGGTAATAAATATCTCAACACTCAATTATAACACACTATACCAAACCTGCAGGAGAGGCAGGTAAATCCTTTGTTGGCTCAGGGAATACTGAAGTCAGCAAATAAATGTTGTGCATTTGTGTATCAGAAGTAGTTCTGGTGTAAAATTAGACTGCCAGTGGGGATTAGCCAGAGTCTGCAGGCATGTAGGATATAATGCAGTTATGTTCCTAATCTCTTTATCCCCTCATTAACCTCCTTGCATGGCAATGTGTTCATCTGGACTAATAGGCTCCCATTATTTATTGTGCATAGGATAAATATGTATGTGTTCTTTTGGGGGCTTGTTTAATAGTGATCTATCTCTTAAAGTTCCAATGCATTTATTAAACTATTGAAATATTACTTTACACTATTAAAGATAAGTAATAACTTTGATTTGGGGGTAAAAGTTTATCAAGATACTCACCTGCTTGTATGTAATATCATGAAACAGGTTTTAATTATTCTTGTTATATCTGGATTTATTAACAGAAGGAGACACCACTTGCAAATGCTGCATTCTGGGCTGCAAGGAAAGGAAACTTGGCATTGCTTCAGCTGTTGTTCAATAGTGGGCGTGTTGATGTGGACTGCAAAGATAGCGTAAGGGCTTTCTCCATGGAAAAACATATGATTTGCCTCTGTTTTCATAATACACTGTGATAGGAAAGACACAAATACCGAGGAATGTATTGGTGTTAGTTTCTAACTTTTGCTTAAAAGGAATTGCCAAAAAATTTTAACTGCAGTTCCATGCTTGGAACTTTCCATATTTTTCTCTTCCTTAAAGAGAATATCGCTTTTTTTTCCACTTTACTGACTTATTGTTAACAATGGGGGGGGTGGGGGGGATTTCAGTGGGAATTCCAGAATTGAGGAGTGCTATTTGAATGAAAACTGTGACACAAGGAACAGGATTGGAAAGTGCTAATGAGTGCTATAGCCTTAATTCGTATGTTGTCTCACTATGGTTTCTTCGAAAAGTTTGAAACATTTCTGTCAGATGATTTGAAATATTATGCTTCTGACAGGTAGTTCTTGACTTATAACCTTTTGTTTAGCAACTGTTTGAAGTTACAGTGGCAGTGAAAAAAATCCAGGATTCAGAGTGGCATTTGGACCAATATAAAGTAGTCCTTGACCTACGGTGGGAATTGGAACCAGAATTTCTATTGCTAAGCAATGCGATCACAAACTGCGATAGCATTTCTTAGTGATGGTAGCCCCAGCAGTCTGGTAGCCATCAATAACTGAATCACATGGACATTAAGCAGTTTCTGCTGATTCTTCATAACCAAAGTCAATGCAGAAGCTGGTAGGAAGTTGCTGAAAGGCAGACTGTGCCGTGTGTGTGTGTGTGTGTGTGTGTGTGTGTGTGTGTGTGTGTGTAGGAAGCAAGGGAGAAGGTGTGTGAAGTTGCAGTGAGGTGTGCTAGAAGTGCTATGTGGAGTGGGAGGGTGCAAGAGGGTATGCGAGAAGTGCTGTATAGGTTGGGGAGGGGGCACAGACGTGTGCTTTTGGTCAGGATGACACAAGTGCAGAGGAGCTGGAGGGAGGTGCATGGGTGAGGAAGACTTATCTCAGCAACATGCAGCTCTCCCTGCTGGCTTCCCCATTGAGTTTCTGAGGAAGGTAAAGTTTTCTGGGGAAAATGGAAGGTCAAAGAGCATCAAAAATGTGGAAGCATATATGCAATAAATAAAAAATAAATTATATTGAATGTAGAGTCTTTGGTGTTCTCTGAGCTTGATTGTTTTCTTGTAGATGTTTCATTATCCAAACTAGGTAGCAATGCTAGTAAGGAATGGGGTTGGCTCTCAATTATATTCTAGTGGCTTGCCCTGTCAGCGTTGATGGGAATGTTGCATACTAATCAATTAAAATCCTCAAAAACATCCTAAGTAAACCAAATAACCCAGCATCCCCAGAAGAAGAAAAAGGATTGATCTACAACCAACAGTGTAAAGACTGAAACATCCACTGCTTAGGACAAACAGGCAGAAGAAAAGCAGAATGCATCCATGAACACCAAGTAATAGTCAGAAGTAGAATAGAATAGAACTGGAAGCGACCTTGGAGGTCTTCTAGTCCAGCCCATACTCAAGCAGGGGAACCTATACAATCTCAGACAAGTGACTGTCTAGCCTCTTCTTAAAAATCTCCAGTGATGGAGCGCCCACGATTTCTGGAGGCAAGCTGTTCCACTGGTTAATTGTCCTTACTGTCAGGAAGTTTCTCCTTAATTCCAGGTTGCTTCTCTCTTTGATTAATTTCCAACCATTGTTTCTTGTCCTGCCCTCTGGCGCTTTGGAGAATAATGTGACCCCCTTTTCTTTGTGGCAGTCCCTCAAATACTGGAACACTGCTATTGTGTCTACCCTATTCTTTTCTTTAGACTAGCTAAACCTGAGTCCTGCAGCCGTTCTTCATATGTTTTAGTCTCCAGGACTTTGATCATCTTAGTTGCTGTTCTCTGAATTTTTTCCAAACTCTCAACATCTTTTTTTTTTTTGTAATATGGTAACCAAAATTGTTGGACCATAAGAAAAGGCTGATTGGACCATAAGAAAGGCTGAGCACCAAAGAATTGAAGCCTTTGAACTATGGTGCTGGAGAAGACTCCTGCGAGTCCCTTGGACTGAAAGGCGTTCAAATTGGTCAGTCCTAGAAGAGATCAACCCTGACTGCTCTTTAGAAGGCCAGATCCTGAAGTTGAAACTCAAATACTTTGGTCATCTAATGAGAAGGAAGGACTCACTGGAGAAGAGCCTAATGCTGGGAAAGATTGAGGGCAATAGAAGAAAGGGACGACAGAGAATGAGATGGCTGGATGGAGTCACTGAAGCAGTAGGTGTGAATTTAAATGGACTCCAGAAGATGGTAGAGGACAGGAAGACCTGGAGGAACATTGTCCATGGGGTCGCGACGGGTCAGACACGACTTCGCAACTAACAACAACAACAAACCAAAATTGGCTGCAGTATTCCAGGTGTGGTCTTACTAGAGTTTTATTAAGCAGTACTAATACTTTGCATGATCTTGATTCTATGCCTTTGTTTATACAACCCAGGATTGTATTAGCATTTTTGGCTAATGCTGCACACTGCTGGCTCATAGTTAAGTGATCGTCCACTAGGACTTCAAGGTCCCTCTCACAGTTGCTGTTTTTAAGCCAGGTCTTACCTAATATGTACTTTTACCTTTGATTTTTCCTGCCTGAATGTAAAACTTTGATTTTCTCCACATTGAAACTCATTTTATTGGATAGGGCCCATTGTTCAAGTTTGTCAAGATCTTTTTGGATCCTGAGTTTGTTCTCTGGTGTGTTGGATACTCCTGCCAGTTTAGTGTCATCTGCAAATGTGATGAGTTCCCTCATCTAAGTCATTTATGAAGATATTGAAGAGTACTTTGTGGTACCCCACTGCTTACTTCTCTCCATGTGGATGTAGTGCCATTGAGGACTATTCATTGAGTATGGTTTGCCAGCCAACTACAGATCCATCTGGTGGTGATGTTGTCTATTCCACCTTTTTCTAGCTTACCAAGGAGTAGGTTGTGATCTACTTTATCAGATGCCTTACTAAAATCTAAGTATACTACGTCCACAGCATTTTGCTGGTCTACTAGTTTAGTCACTTTATCAAAGAATGAAATAAGATTGGTTTAGCATGATCTATTTTTAACAAACCCCTGTTGGCTACTAGTTATAACTTTGTTTGCTTCTAGTTGTTTGCAGATCTGTGTTTTGATTATCTTTTCTAGGATCTTCCCAGGTATTGATGTTAAATTGATTGGTCTGTAGTTTCTGGGTCCATTTTTTTCCCTTTCTTGAAGATGGGAACCACATCAGTCCTTTTCCAATCTTTGGATATTTCACCGATGCTCCAGGATTTTTGAAAGATATGATGCAGTGGTTCTGAGATAACATCTGCCAGCTCCTTCAGAACTCTGGGTCGAGTCCCGGTGATTTATATTCGTCAAGGTCGGATAGGTGCTCTCTTACCATTTTCCTGCTTATTTTAATTTTTGTTTCTAATTTGTTTTTTGCAGTGGTTTTTTTGGTATGTTGGACTATAGTTTCTTTTTGTGTGAAGACTGATGCAAAGAATGAGTTAAGCAGCTCTGCTTTCTCCCTGTTGCCTGTTATGAAAACCCTTTAATTTTACAACACATGAACAGTCTTAACCATAGTTTCAGCTGGAAACATGACCATCTTAGATTAATCCAAGTAAAAAATGCTAGAGAATTTCTTGAACCCTGGCATCTGACAAATTGGCCATCAGTAGATACATAGATATAAACAACATCTATATACTATGCAAAAAGGATAATCAAGCCAAAAAAGGAACAAAAATACCAAAACACCTTCCCATCAGCAATCAACACCCAGATGAGCATAGATTTAACACCAAGATTAAATCAGTCAAGAAGTAAATAATACCCCAGTCAAGGAACTGCTAAACAAGCTAACAATAAACAGTCCAACCAAATCAAACTCCTACCAACTCTGACAGGGCAAGCTACTAGAATATAAGTTGATAGCAAACACCATTCCTTACTAGCACTGATGATGTTACCTAGTTTGGATAATGAAACATTTGCAAAAAAATACAACCAAGCTCAGAGAGCACCAAGGACCCTTCATTTCAACCCTGAGCTACAAATACTCTCTTTTATTTTATTGTCTATAAGCATATTGGTGTAGATTTCAACAATGTAAAATACAGACTTGCCCAAAAGTATTTTGTCTTCCATTTGAGCCTGAAGCTGCAGAGAAAATAAAAGGAGGCTCCATTTTTCAGGATTTATTTACATATTTAAGGTATTTACTGTATTGCTTTGTGCCCAGCTTGGTTCAACAGCCCTTATGGTAGCATCATACTATGGCCACAAAGAATGTGTGCGAGAACTGGTGCTGCAAGGAGCTGATATTAATCTTCAGAGAGAGGTACGTTAACCTGTATTTAAAAAAGAATTATCCCTAGGGATTGGTTTAATTAAAAATTCAGCACCCTACTGCATATTTCAAACCTGCTATAGACATTAAGGATAATTTATTACTTTAAAAATATTATTACTTTTGTACACCTTTTATTACTGTAGTCTCACAAATGCTGTCCCATGTTCTCAGTAGTCAGAGATTCTTTGATGTAGCAAGGTTTCCACTTGTAGAATGAAAGAAAAACTGATTTGTTTGTTCTACAAATGGCTTTTCCAGACTCCTCCTGCTTCAGAATATTAGGAGCATCTTCAGGAATATGTTCCTTCCCATTCTGCTGATGGAAGATCTTTCATATTCAAAGAACCTATAACTAAGCTGAGAGACTTCATAAGATACAACCTAATTACTGCCCAGAAGATTAAAATTTCATCCTGGTTTGTATAGCTGACAAAAGGCCTGAAAAGAGTAGTAGTTTTACTACTAATCATATCTTTGACAAAACATGATGGATTTGATATTCTGAATTTTCTTGGATTTCAGGCACTCGCTGTTAGGTTTCTATATAATCAAGGGCGATGACTGAACAAGAGACACATTTTCCTGAGAATAGGGTTTCTAATAACCCTTTTAATCCTCAATTTTCTATGGTCTTTAAGTCCTTGCATGAGAAGGGTTATAGGATATAGTGATAAGGAAATCATTACTGTATTTCAATTAATCTTGTTCAAAGGCATAGTTTTCACTACATTTGTATACTTTTAACACATTATAAAAATTATTAATCTCATTGCCACTTTTTTCTTAGCAATGCTCCTTTGTCCTCCATGAAATAATGTATCAGATGTTAGATGGCTGCCCAATTCATAGTAGGTGGGCAGTTTTTCATTATTACATGTCATTATTGGTGGTAGGATGCATCTGTCCCAGGGCTGTTAAAGGCACAGATGCCATATGAGAAACAGCATACTCAGTGATTGGCTAAAAGCTCTTGTTTCTTTCTGCTGTGATTAAAATATTATGCCTGCATTGGACAAAGTTTTTGCCTGCATTGGACATAGTTGATTGGTATGATATACTTGATGTGATTACTGCATGGATACATAAATCCACAGAACTGTTTACCATCAATAACTATCACACTTGACAGGAAGAAAGCACAAGGCAGAAATAGTGGAAAATAAGAGGGTGTAATTGATTGGTGCATAAAACTCACTGGTGAATAAAATGTTTTGGCAGGCAAAAAAGAAATGAGAGTGTAGATGATCTTCAATAGTAAAATATGTTTATGCTTACATGTAGTCGGTTCAGACTTTATATTCTTGAAAACATTAAGCATGGTCTTAACTTACCATGAATTTTTCTCATTATCAGTAGGACCTGTCTACAAATCTAAGAGCAGATAATATGAGTGTTGGTTACATAGCTATATTAGAATTGTATTAATCTCAAATCAATGTATGGAGGCAGTTAGCATTTGGATGAACAAAACAAGTTCAGACTAAGCCCTACAACACTGACCTGCTTGTTGCCAGCAAATAAACCATTACCTGGATGACTGAGAATCTCCATAGACATTGTAAATAACTCATGAAGAAAGATTTATCTATATTTAGTTGACAAGAACGGAGGCTGGGGGAATGGGCAAAGTTAACTATGTTCCTGCTCCTAGCTTCCCAGATTTGCTGGGATATGGATAGCATATAAATGTAATTTATAGACATGCCTTTCTGATACATGAAGGAAACATCCTGGAATCCTCAAAAGAATAATCTGATGGGAATGTCTTAATTTAGGAATGGTTGCTGCTAGAGACTTCTGGTTTAATTCAGCACTTCCATCAACATCCTTGTTAAATATCTTACATATATTTTGTATGAAATGCCCCTTCATATTTGCTAATCTATGGGATTTCTGATTCTCATTTTAGACCGGTGCCACTGCCCTATTCTTCGCTGCACAACAAGGCCACAATGATATAGTGAAGTTACTCTTTGAATATGGAGCTTCCACAGAATTCAAAACCAAAGTAAGAAGTTATACTTGGCTTCAACATGTTGGTGAACTTAGACAGCCAGGCAGGAAGGAAAAGCAGCTGTTTTCTTCTGATCCAAGGTTTGGCATGGAGAACCGACAAGAGGCCCACAGAATAATTTTGCTTCTCCCTGTACTGTTCTCTGGCAGGACGTTAAGTTGTGTATGACTCTTATTGCTCAGTTTTCATTATATAAGTATCACTCAATTTGTTTGTTATTTTTGTCATTTCATTTGGAAAGGGCAAAGCCAAAGCTGATTATAAAAGCAAACTTTAAAAAAGAAATACAAAAGACTTTCTGCTTATTGACAGATTGGAAATATATGAAAATCACAATTACAGACTATATTAGCTCAATTTAGAAAACAATACAAATATCGCATTTTCTATTTCTTAGGGACAGGAAGTGTTCCTGTAGGGTACTGTAGGTTGTCATAGAAATGTTCCCATAAGGTGCTGTAGTTGTCATAGCATGATAGCTGGGAATGATGGAAGCTGTAATCCCACATATCTGGAGAAACTAATTTGGGGACAACTGCAGTATATAAACATCCCACCTGAGATTTTCTTACTTTTGTACTGAATAGGAGGCCTCCAGATCTGCAGATATTGTTGCCATTGTAGATTTTTGCAGATCACCTTTTGAATTGCTTTCTCTTTGCTACAAAAGAGCCCATAACTGTGCAAATGGAGGAAGAAATTGTGCAGTGCTAAATAATATACACAGAACTGACATTAGTCTTAATAGTTACTCTTGATAGGGTACTGGCCCCCCTTAAGGAATGGGTGCATAATCTGGGAATCCTTCGTAGCTCCTGCTAAAATAGCAGATAAAAGCCATTCTTTAAGAAAGCAGCATCTTTTTGCACAAAAGCCTGAAAAGAAGATTTTGCATTTCTTTGAGGTCTAAAATATTTCTTTCTAATCATTTTCAAAATGTGCATAACCCTGCTATATCCCTTATAAATTCTAAAATATTTTTAATCATAATATTTATTTCTCTCACAAAGTTCTAATTAGGCAGGTCATTGTTTATGAAGTTTTGCCTGTTTGAAATATACAATAAACCTGCATCAATATGGAACTTGAAAAGGAATTTGATTGTCCCAGGTTCTCTTTGTATGTAAGGCACAACTGTTTTATGTGAGGAAGTAGCAGCTCAAGTTTCTATGAAAACTTCCCCATGTAAGAGGAAACTGGTACAAAAACCTGAATTTAGGTCACAGAACAGTTTAACACAGGACAACAACAGAAAACCAGTATCTGGCTTTAAAAGAAATAAATTTGAAAGCAACCAATAATAATAATAATACTTGTATAATAAAACCAAATCCATAAAATCCTAAATGCAGTAGGAAAGAAAATCATAAAAACTCTCAAGAAATTTTAGATAAGCAAAAATAAAATAAAATAAAATAATAAAAGCATATATCCACAAAATAAATCCACCAAGGGGACAGAAAACATCAGCCATAACCTGTGAATAGTAGAATCTTTGAATCTTGTGCCACAATCTACAGTAAGTAATGTGGCTCAAGAGTCTTCCCAATCAGATTGCAGATCCATCCTTCAGATAGGACAATTGTTTACTCCGTTCCCAGAGTGTAAGGAAGTGGATCTGATTAAACCAGCTTTGGCTTCCTCCTTCAGTTATGTGTTTTTGGAACAATGACATTTTGTTTGAAAAGGCCAAAGACAAAAAACTGGATCCTGGTAGAGGAAAAAAATAAAAATGAATTAATTTTAATTAAATGAATTGCACTTAGTACGATTACTTAGCACGTATTTCATTTTCCTCTTCTATTATTAGTTCAGTGGCATCTTTGGAGAGGCAGTCTTGGAACTACAAGTTGTGCACCCCTGACTTGCATTAAGTGTTTAGTTGTTTCTGACATCCTGTTCCATTAATGTGGAAACTGCATTTTACAGGAAGTAACCCATTGATTCACTACCTGTTTTCTAGGACTGCATGTAATAGAAGGTCGGTTGAATTTATATCAGAAACTGCTAGCATATGTTTACTTAGAGATTCAGAATATAGAGTTTGTGGGGCTTAATATAAAAAGTGTTATCAGAAGGAGATTTCCGCACCGTAATATAGTAATACTTTGCTGTTCAGCTTATTAGTTGTTTGTGCCCAAAATATATTGGAGGAATTCAGACTACTATGGACTAATCAGTTCAATATGCACAGCATCTGTTGTATAACTTATACATTTGCTTTCTGGTTGAAAAGGTCTCTTGTGCTTCTTCGTCATAACAAAGCCATTTTTTGGTAATTGTTCTGTGATTGTGCAAATCTCTTCATTCTGAGATCTTTGTGTGCAGTTGTTCTGATGTAATTTCTCAGAGTTTCCAGCATGTTTGCCAGCAGCACCAATGCTGTTTCAGTTTCTAATACACTGCAGATGTGACCAACTTTTTGCCAAATGTAATATGAAAAGTGGAACTCCATCCCAGGCATAATTAGAGAAAGTACATATATTAATATGAAGCACTATATACTACCGTGTTTTCCCAAAAATAAGTCCTAACCGGAAAATAAGGCCAAGCATGATTTTTAGGATGCTTGTAATAATAAAAGCCCTACTCCAAAAATAAGCCCCAGTTAAGACGGACAATTTAGTACCGTATTTGCCCGAAAATAAGACCTAACTGGAAAATAAGCCCTGATGCGTCCTTTGGAGCAAACATTAATATAACACCTGGTCTTATTTTGGGGGAAACACGGTATCTAACTATTTCATTTTTGCAAAGCTGCTTAGTCACCAATTAGATAATTATATGTGACTATTATGGAAGAATTGAATTTTGCATTGTTCTCCTAAAACAAAGTTGTCTTTCTACACAAAAATATAGACCCGTAATTAAAGAAACATAGGCTATAGAATATAATATGTATTTCCTTAATAAATAGGAAGGCATGAGGCATAACTCTGTGGCCCCCTAAATTCAGGTTGAGAATAGTGGTTAGCTATTCTTGAAACATTCCTCTCGTCTACAGTATAATCAAGAACTGAAACAGCTCAGTTCTAATTTTTCTGAACTGAAGTTGAACTGGTGTTTTCCACTTCTCCCAGCAGAAATTTTGCAATTTGAATGAGATGCAAAGTTGTATTCAAGTGTAACTGATTTAACAATGTGATGGGTGTGGCTTGCTCAGCCCTTATTGGCCATTCTTGGCTAGTGCAACACCTGCCTTTGCTGCCCTTAGTGTGATAGTTCCGTCTACTAGCCTACTAGCATGGATGCCAGTACGCTATTCCTTCTTGTCCATTTTGCTTATATCCTTTTGCTAAGAAACTTTTGCTTCAGGTAGCCTTGCACTCCCTCTTACTGACCCACTGTGTGGGTGATTTTCATTTTGTCGGCATTCATAGCAGCAGGTTGTTGCAGTGGTGACTCTGACTCTTTCAGGACAAACCTCAAACTTCAGCAAGAATTATCACTCTTTCAACACTGGTGCTGACATGCCAGAAATCTTTTGGATTCCTCTCCATTGTAAAGTGATGCAGTTGAAGTGGGACTTCCGGTTTAGCCAGCACCTCTTCCCCTTGACTTGCCAATACATTGTAAAGTTATTGTTGGTTGAAACAAGAAAGCTTCAGCCAGTCTCACCTCCCCTGAATGGATCATAAGGAGATCATGTGGAGTATTCAGGAAATAACAGTACATGGTCTTGTCCCCCAGACTGCCTCTACAGAATATGGAGAAGTGGTGTGAAGTAGGAGCTCTACTGGGATGTTGCCTACTCCCCCAATTCAATTTTGAGGAAAGGATAAATCTACCACTCTACCCGGAATCTGTTGGGTTCTACCTTCTATTTGAGCAGTTGGTAGACACTTTCCCCATTGGCAGGGAAATGCACAAGTCGCTGCATCTTAAACTACCCCACAGTAAACTGTTTTCATAGTGCCATTTATGATTATTGAAAAAGACTACAGCCCAACTGTAGAGAGCCAATTTGTGCTATTATATTTTATGTCAACTCATGGACTGGACAACACCTTTAAACTAGCTATCTGGATGAGGATAAAACTTCTGAGAGCACTTTTAGACCAATGACATTATTCAAGTAATCTGCAGTATGCATTCGAACAAAAAACTGAATCTTACCAGTGTGTGGGGTAAATAGGATATTTTGCGGTTATATAAACATGTTGGGAAAGACAAGTATGAAGAGGTAATTATGGGATACTTTGTAGCCTGCATGTGTGATAGGAGTGAAAAATGGAAATTATTTCCTGTCATCTCAAGTTCCTGGAAGATTTTTAATGATCAGGGCAGAATTTTGTTTATGCTATATATTCTATGATGCTCCATTTAGTATAAAATCAGGGCAGAATATACATGCAGTTGTCATACAGAGACAGGTTTGACAAAGGAAAAGAGAAATGGGGAAACAGCTGTAACTTTACCAGATTTCCCAACTTTAATCTGCTATGGAAACTGTAGCCATTATAGAATTGAATAAAATTTTATGAGGAGCAGTGTTCTGTAATGGCCATGGTTTGAAATAAGGAACAAAGCATGATGTGGAATGACTTTTATCGTAAAAATGCAAGTTTGCTCAAAACACAAATTATAGGACATCATAAGAAATGCAGGTGTGAAGTAATGAACCTTCCTCATAGCTTTTCTGTGGTCTGTCACTCAGGTCACTGTTTCTTTAGGTTCCAAAATTAAAAGTAAACCCCGCTGATGTGGTTGGTGCATGTATAAGAGAGAAAAGAAAATACAAGGAAGCTTGCAACAGTTTGGGGGAAATGGCTGAGCTCTGCTTTTGCTTTGCAAAGTGAATCTAGCCATAGTTCCGTAGAAAGCCTTATTTAAAGAGTAAGATCTTCCATTGTTTCTTACAGTTTGGCCTTAAATGACACTTCTTAATCCTGAAAGCCAGGTTTCTGCTAGAGAAAGGAAAGAGAAAAGCACAGCCAAATTTTCCCCTTTAAAAGAGGCCACTGAATATAAATCTATATGGGGGAATATTGTCGTAAATGTAAAAGAGTAGCTGTTTATAAGTAGGAATAAAATGAGCATAAAATATTAAGAGAGGACTGCTTCCAGTTAAGGTTCAAAATGTGTTTTCAATTAAATAGGAATTAGGATGTATTTTCAGGGAAGCAAGTAATAACCACCTGAGTTTTTCTACTCATGAGTTAAGTGCTAAGAAATGTTTAGCAGTTACTGTTCTCTGAAACTTTATCCTGTATCCATTTGTATTTTTTTCAGGATGGTGGTACTGCTTTGTTAGCTGCTTGTCAATATGGGCACATGAGAGTGGTGGAAACCTTACTAAAGCATGGGGCCAACATACATGATCAGCTTTATGTGAGTTTCTTTGAAATGTACATTCATTATTTCAATCTTCTTTTCCATCAGTGGTGAAAACTGTTTCCAGGATTCCATTTTTTTAAAGTTTTCACAAGAAAAATCTTAGAATGAACATGGTCTGTAAAGTACGGAAAACAGATCCCTCTTTTAATCGAAATACACATTGGAAAGATGACTGGTAGAAGTGCACTAATGTCCACTGTTCTTAGATCAAAATATTTATCTAAAGGCATGTAAGTATAGTTTAAGTTAGGGATGTTCAAACAAAATTTTATTGATTGAGAAAGTGATTAATAGCAATACATAGTAGTTTAAATTTAAATTTTCAAGTTTAGACTGCATACATTAAGAGAAGGCCAGTGAATATAGAGTTGTTTTGCTTTTGCATTAGTCTGTTCCACTATCAAGAAGTTCTTCATCTTAAAATATAAAGTTATTTAGGTCCTACTGTCTGGGGATAAAAAGAACAAATTGTTTCATTATCTATGTGACAGTGTCTCAAATAATTGAAGATATCTGGAACACCAAATTAATACAACCTCTTTCATATGTTTGCAGAATGAAATAATTCAGCTCTAGCTTGTTCATGAGATTGCCATAGCAATTAGATTCTTTTAATATTTCCTAAGTTAAAAAATAACTTCTCTTTACTTAGCAAACAAGAATCTCAGGTTTTTGCCTATCTCTCTACTATAGTGCTGCTTTAATTTATGCCATGAAGAGACTTTATTTAAAATAGTACAACCTACAATTCAGTAACCATAGTTTGCATAATGTAAATCAGAATGGGATTCATTTAGCAGCTGAGGGTTGCCCTTGATTTTTTTCTTGGGTGAGAAACCCACTCAGGTCGTGGGTTATGATGAAACAGGGGAGGGGGAAATTCCTTTACTCCAGACCTTTAAAAAAATACAGCTAACCCAAAATTGCCACTTTCATTATTAAAGTACAATAGTACAAGTACAATTTTGATACAATAAAATGTTGCATTGAATAATTACCCCTGTATTTCAGGAAAAAGGTAGGAGGGGTATGTAGGAGCTGCACTAAAGCCTTGGGAGAGCTGCATGCAAACTACGGCTGCAAAGAAAGAGAATAGCTCACAGGTGTCTATGATTAGAGGCCATTTATATATCTATCTTCCAAGGTTCTGTAACTCAAATACAATAACTTGCGTAAGTATCCAATGTAATAATTGTTCACCAGAAATATTCATTTACATATATATATTCAATAATGCAATCTTCGATCTCCGGGAAGAGTATAATCTAGTTATTTATTGATTATTTATTTCATGATTTTCCACACTTAGACCCCCTAATGAACAAATATGGCAAAAAACTATTATGATTATTGTATTCCAAAAAAATTAAACCTTTGGCATTTTGTTGCAGTGCTTTTCTCTCTCTCTCAAAAAATGACTTGGATTGCTCCTTATTTCTATTCACCCCAGAATCTGTTGGTGATGGATATTTGTTTCCTTCTGGACATTCCTGCTCTCCCTATTCGAATAGTATATGAAGTTAGGCTGGAATCTTCTAGTCACTAACTGAGCCATGATATCTACATCTAGCCACAGTACGAACATATCCTAGCAATCTCTTTATTTTATTGTCTTCATGAGCTTGCCTTCACCTTGTCTGTAATTTGCGAGTGGGGTTAGGCTAAGCTGTCTTTGGCTATTACAGTTTGAAAATAGTGTTTTCTCTATAAAGCAGGCTAGGTGCATGACTAGGCCAGTAAGTGCAGTAGGGAATATGGACAAACTTAGTGCTGGTATGGAGTAACCTATCCCTTGGATCTGAGACACTTTTCTATACCACCATTCGTTTTTACTTTTTTTTTAATCCAGATTTTTGCAATTTGCTAGACAGCTGTTCTATACGGTACTGAAATCCTTACCTACTTTATCCTTCTCAATTTTGACTGATTTTGCTCTTTTGCTTTGTTGCATATGTACTATAAAGCAATAAGGATTACCTGTCAAAAATTCATTCTCTCTCCAAGTTGCACTGAGGATTTTACCCAGTGGTGGGATTCAGCCGGTTCGCACCACTTCAGCAGAACTGGTAGCTAATTTTTTGTTGCTCAGGCCCAGAATGGATTTCCAAAAGCCGCATCTACACAGAGAATCGTTGTTCACATATTTGAATCCCACCACTCATTTTGCCCCTTGCTTTGCTTAACAAATAACCTCCATATGTAAAATCAGCAACAAATGAGAACATAGACCATAATTGCTGTAGGGAGGTTGACAGCATATGGTAGATGAGTGATGTTTTTTGCTCAACCACTCTGAGAGGAAATGTACTGTACTGATCATAATATATGTAATGTTACCAGAAAGTTCCTAATCTTACAACATGTCTTTCCCATTCCCTCCTCTTTTTCACTTTTCTTTGCAACTGGGTAAAACTTTCTTCTCTAATTATTCTCTTTACATTTTCAGGAAGGACAAGTTAAATCAAATACTTGATTTATATGCATCTAATAAAATATTTAAAAATCAAGGCAATGAATAAAATTAGGAAAAAATAAATTACATTATATGGTTTGTTAAATCAATAAAGTTATAAAAGAAAGATAACAATATACAAATGAGCAGCGTATAGCTTTTGGTGCAAACTCTTTTTAAATTAGATCGTTTCAAAATTTTCAGTAAAAAAATAATGGAAATCCTTAGTCATGTTTGATAGTCTTTAAATGGTTTGATATACTTCAAAGCAATGGATAAACAGAAGAACCTGGTTGCCATTTGTCATATTTGTTACTCAGCTGAGCTAATACAAGGTTTCTGATTGGCAAAGTTCCTCTCTAGGCAGACCTCAAATACACCCTGCTGGAACAATTACTCACAAAACAGCTCCATTCTTTACATTGACTACATCTCAAGCTAGGAGCAGACTAATTAAAGAGCATCTTTGAATTTTACTTTCATCAGTGTTGCAGAAAGAGTTGCATTAAGTGGCAGGAGGTGTTTAATGGATGTGGAAAACATTCTTAAGTACAAGTGGCATTTTTATATGCTTGAGAATTAATGGAAGAAGGAAAACATTCATTAGTTCTATTATGGACATTTTTATTAGTAAACAAGCTAATTATTTTTGTATTTCAAATTAAGGATGGAGCTACTGCACTTTTCCTGGCTGCTCAGGGAGGCTATCTGAATTTAATTCGGTTATTACTATCTTCAGGAGCAAAGGTCAACCAGCCAAGGCAGGTAATATTCAGCATTGTTAAGATATAGATTTTGTTTTATTACTGACTTTATCTATTACATGCTAAAATTAATCAGCCACATCTTAATACTCAGTAACTTATAATTATTTTTTCTGATTTTAATATGGAAGTAAGTATTTGATAGACCTTGGGTTTCCATAATAGACTTTCTGCACATTGCTAAATTTGTTCTGATATTTGGCAATATGTAATGCTATGTGAAAGTGATCTTGGAGACGGGAAGGACAGCCAGAGATTGGACAAGCAGTGTGTAAAAGGTATCTCACTTCATACAGTAGCAGGGCATGGGAAATGTTTCAGAAGAGAGCCTCCCTTTTTTTGGAGAGTTAAAGAAAATGTGAGGGGGTCCTTGGTGCTCCCTGAGCTTGTTTTCTTGCAAGTATTTCATTACCAAACTAAGTAACATCATCAAACTATGTAACATATTGGAAGGGAGGGGATTTGCTCTCATTTTATATACTAGTGACTTGTTCTGTCAGTGTTGCTGGAAGTGGTGTTGGTAGTCCCTTGATTAGCCTGTTTGTTTACTGCTAGCCTGTTTGTTTACTCTTTGATTGGGATATTGCTTACCTCTTGATTATTGGCCTAGTGTTAATCTTGGTGTTAATCTCTGCTCATCTGGGTGTTGATTGCTAGCGATAACGTGTTTTGGTCTTATTGTTTCCTTTTTGACTTTTTGATTGTCTCTGTGCTTGTTGATGGCTAATTTGCCCTAAGTGCTGGGCTTCCAGGAATTCTTTAGCGTTTTTGGATTTGGCGTGCTCTAGGATACTCTATTTCCCAACTATTGTTGAGTCATTTAATATGTTATGAAATTAAAGAGTTTGCATCATGTCTTCAGCCTGCTAGTTGGTGTTCGTGGATGTGCTCTGCTAGTCTTCTACCTGTTTGTCCTACATAGTGGCTGTTACTGTACACTATATGCTGTTGTATGAGTTACTTTGTGACTTTATGCTTTTCCTTTGAGGCTATTGGGTCTTTTGGTTTACTTAGGAGGTTTTGGAGGACTTTTGCTGGTTTGTGTGCTATGGTGATGCTATGTGGTTGTAATAGACTGTTTATTGTCTGTTTAAGGTGTTTTTGATGTATGGCAGTGTTATTCTTTTCACAAATTGTGTTGGTTGTGCTACATTGGTATGACTGATCAGCCTATTTTGATAAAGTTGCATCGGTATCCATTTGGATGGAAGATGTTTTATAGATAATCTATTTTCTTCTGATATTCAGGGTTGCTGTAGTGATCGTTTAAATAGTGTTTTTCTTGTGGGAAGTTAGGTTGTTAGATCGGTAGTGGAGCACTTGGTTAGTATGGATATGAGAGATTTGTGCTTTAATTTGCCATCACTGCCTCTGAGGATTTCCAGGAAGGGTAGCATATTGTTTTCTATGTTTCTTGTGAATTTTATTTCTTTGAAGATGTATGTTATTGATGGTATGTTTTCTCTAAATCAGGGGTGTCAAACTGGTGGCCTGCAGGCCGGACGCGTCACGTGGAAGCCACGCCCACCCCATTGCCAGCAATGGCAAAATCGGCCCGATACGTTGCGCAACGTCACGTGATGTTGCGACTTTGACATGCCTGCTCTAGATGGTCCTTTGAGTATGACAAGATATCAACTACGTACCGGATCCATACTTTGGATTCTATGTGTGGGACTGCTAGAGATTCTAGGCATTATGGTCTCTGTGAGTCTTGAAAGCTGTAGTCCCAATTCCTTTGATTTGTTGTATATTTGTCCATCAAGCTAAAAATATGTGGTCAAAGGTTGATGAGATCCATGATTCTGGGTATTTCAATCTTGATATATTTGGTTAGATCAGGTGTGCTATATAGTATTGCTGTCATGGATTCTTTTGCTAATTCTGTGTATGCAGAGAGTGCTATTATATCAAATGAGAAAATGATTTCAACTATATTTCAACTGTTTTCAGGTCTTTGATTCTTTGGAAGCATTTGTTTCCCTCTGTGAGGTGTCCAAGCTTTCTTGTTGGTTCTTCAGTGATGTTGTAGGTTGAGATCCCTGTTAATGATACAATTGGATAGTTTAAAGGAAAGGAGAGGAGAAATATTTTAATGTAAGCTTACAATAAAAATAGAGCTAGTTCTTCTGGTTGTGCTTCTTGTCTAGACTACTTTGCATAGCTGCTCATGTATTCTTCTTTGAATTGTCAATCTTTTATTAACTAGAATCCATTTGTTCCAAATAATGAAAGAGATATATGTCACTGAAAGGTTAGAGAATGCATACCAATTCAAAGAACTCAGCAAAACAGAACCCAGCAAATTTTTGATATATTTATATACAGTTAAATATAATATAGTCCAGTGCCATCTACTGAATAAAATAGATAACATTATATTATGTAATTGCTTATACAGCTTTTATTGCATTTTACTAATAAGTATCACATGTAATATAGCATAAACAAAGCAGTAGGTAACATCAGAATATACTTCAGTATAAATAATGTATTCATGTGACTAATCCTACTTTGTAGTCTTAAATGCTTCCTTTCCAAGTGTATGAATCTACTACATGTACCCGTGTTTCCCCAAAAATAAGACTGGGTCTTTTTTTTGTCTCCAAAAGAGGCACCAGGTCTTATTTTCAGAGGGGAGGGGTGTCTTTTCCACTCACCTCCTGCACTGAGAGCCCCACCCAGCCACCCCACTTCTTCTGCAGCAGAAGGAACAGCTTCATTCTGCAGCTCAGAATGGAGCTCGGGCCTGCATTTCACAGTCCGGAAGGCCTTTGCAGCCAATAACCGAGCAATGGATTCAATCGATAGCTCAGTTTTTGGCTGCAGAGGCCTTCCAGAAAGGCCTGATTGTGAAATGCAGGCCTATGGACGCCGGAGAAGTGGCCGGAAAGGAGACTCCTGGCTGCAAGGTAAGTGGGTGCAGGGCATGTGGGGCAGCTCCACACCCACACCCTAGCTTGATTTTTAAGTGTGTGCCTCACCCCAAAACTTGGGCTTATTTTTTGGGTAGGGCTTACTTTTGGGGAAACACGGTAGTCCTCATTTAACAATGCTAATTGGGACTGAAAACTGTTGTTAAACAATGTGGTCATAAGCCATAAAACCATTTAACCATGCAATTTAGCGATGGCAGTTCCAGCAGCCCTGATTGCCATCATTAAACAAGGACTCTGTAGGTTGTGTAAATGAGGACTTCACATGACCATGACTTCCAACCTCCTGCCAGCAGGACTTCACTTGTGGGTGGCCAGCAGGAAAGATTGCAAATCATGATCATGAGGTTACACTGCATGGCCATATGTACATGTATCATTCATTCAGCCCATTGTAAGTTCAAACAGTCACTGAACAAGTGATCATTAAATAAGAAACATTTTCTTTGTTTATGTCTCTGTGCACCCAGATATCCTATATAGAAAGCTGATTATCTTTCTTTCCTTAATATCTTGATAAGTAAACCTCAAAATAATATATACCAATTATTGGAAGTAATTAGAAATTGGCTTCTTAATTATAGGCCTAGTTTTATCTGCCAACATGTGACATATCATAACTGACCATAAGGTTTCCCATTTCTTTTAATGTGTGGAAATACTTGTTAACATTAGATGCCATATAAAACAGAATTAATTCCTGTAATGATTATATTTTTATTCATTTCACATACTCTTAATTAACTCTTATTACCTTTGAAACAAATCACCTTTAAATCATGGATATGAAATTTTCTTTTTTCATCGACCGGTTCTGTACTGTATTTCTTGTAATACACTCTTAGATAACTTTACAAACTTGGATTCAGCACTGCTTATTCTGATTGAGAAGGTGACAAAACTGGTCTTTGCCCAGCTTTGGATGTTTTCTCAGCTTTATTGGAGAAGTTCTGCTGTCCCTCATATGCCATGCTTTGATCACCTCATGTTTTATTAGATATTGTAAGCCATATGATGTTATTCTTGAAGAGCATCTACATTCAGCAGCTAATGCAAAATGGGTCAGCCAGACTGCGGTTTGCAGGCTGTTCTACTTTTCAGTTTATTCTAAGATATCTCAAAGTAGACCATGCCAGTTTATGCTGGCATAGTTTGCTATTGGCTTAAGGACTGGTAGATAGTACTTTAATGTGGCTATCTAGAAGAGTCCATAGTCAAGAGTACTGTTGTTAATTTCATTGCCGCTTCTCTTAACATGACTAAGTCTAGATCTATCCTGAGTAGTTTTTAAAGAAAAAATATAGTGGTTCAAAGTGATGCCATTATTTCATATAGGCAACAAATATTTTGTCTATACTATGCAAAGATTTTTTTTCAGCTTGAAGACACGCTATTTATATGCACATTTGCATTTCCACTTGTCCTGAATACTATTTCTTTCCAAGGAAAGGATTTCATTTGGATATCCAGGTTCATTTTGTCCTTGAACTCCAGCCAGAATCTCATTGTAAAATGTCAGAAGTTTTTAGCACTGCTTGACTTGATTAATCCTGATCCATTTTTAAATTTTCCTTCAGGATGGGACAGCTCCGTTATGGATAGCCTCTCAGATGGGACACAGTGATGTAGTGCGAGTGATGCTGCTCCGAGGAGCAGATCGAGAGGCTGCAAGGCTGGTAAGCAAGCACTTTAGTTTTCTAGATTTTACATTGGAAGAAAGAATGATTCTATAGTAAGGTTTATTTATGGTAATTTGGGTGTCTATTCTGACTAGCCCCTTTATGGATTACTGCCTTGTCCCCTTTATGGATTACTGCCTTGTCGTGGCGAAGGGGCTTGCGTAACTCAATGAAGCTATAAGCTATGCCGTGCAGGGCCACCCAAGACGGACAGGTTATAGCAGAGAGTTCTGACAAAATGTGATCCACTGGAGAAGGAAATGGCAAACCACTCCAGTATCTTTGCCATGAAAACCCCATGGACAGTACTAAAAGGCAAAAAGATATGACGCTGGAAGATGAGCCCCTCAGGTCGGAAGGTGTCCAATATGCTACTGGGGAAGAGCAGAGGGCTAGTACTAGTAGCGCCAGAAAGAATGAAGCGACTGGGCCAAAGCCGAAAGGACGCTCAGCTGTGGATATATCTGGTGGTGAAAGGAAAGTCCGATGCTGTAAAGATTTTTTCTCCATAGGAACCTGGAATGTAAGATCCATGAATCAAGGCAAGCTAGACGTAGTCAAAAAAGAGATGACAAGACTGAACATCGACATCTTAGGAATCAGCGAACTAAAATGGACAGGAATGGGTGAATTTAACTCAGATGACCATCAGGTATACTACTGTGGGCAAGAATCCCTCAGAAGAAATGGAGTAGCCTTCATAGTCAATAAAAGAATAGGAAAAGCAATACTGGGATACAATCCCCAAAATGACAGAATGATCTCAATTCGAATCCAAGGCAAACCATTCAATATCACAGGAGTCCAAATCTATGCCCCAACCACTGGTGCTGAAGAGGATGAAATTGACCGGTTCTATGAAGCCCTACAGCACCTTATAGAATTAACACCAAAAAATGACGTCCTTATCATCATGGGAGATTGGAATGCTAAGGTAGGAACCCAAAAGATAACCGGAATAACAGGCAAGTTTGGCCTTGGAGTACAAAATGAAGCAGGGCACAGGCTAATAGAATTTTGTCAAGAGAATACGATGGTCATAACAACACTCTTTTCCAACACCCTAAGAGACGGCTCTACACATGGACATCACCAGACGGTCAACATAGAAATCAGATTGACTATGTGCTCTGCAGCCAAAGATGGAGAAGCTCTATACAGTCAGTAAAAACAAGACCAGGAGCTGACTGTGGCTCAGATCATGAGCTTCTCGTTGCAAAATTTAGGCTTAAATTGAAAAAAGTAGGGAAAAGCACTAGGCCACTCAGGTATGAACTAAATCATATTCCTGATGAATATACAGTAGAGGTGACAAATAGATTTAAGGAACTGGATCTGATAGACAGAGTGCCTGAAGAACTATGGATGGAAGTTCGCAACATTGTACAAGAGGTAGCAACTAAAACCATCCCAAAGAAAAAGAAATGCAAGAAAGCAAAATGGCTGTCTGAGGAAGCTTTGCAAATAGCTGAGGAAAGAAGGGAAGCGAAAGGCAAAGGAGAAAGAGAAAGATACACCCAATTGAATGCAGAATTCCAGAGAGTAGCTAGAAGAGATAAGAATGCCTTCTTAAATGAACAGTGCAAAGAAATAGAAGAAAACAACAGAATAGGGAGGACCAGAGATCTCTTCAAGAAAATTGGAGATATGAAGGGAACGTTTCATGCAAAGATGGGCATGATAAAGGACCAAAATGGCAGAGACCTAACAGAGGCAGAAGAGATTAAGAAGAGATGGCAAAACTACACAGAAGAACTATACAAGAATGAGCTTAACATCCCAGATAACCACAATGAGATGGTCACTGACCTCGAACCAGACATCCTAGAATGTGAAGTGAAATGGGCCTTAGAAAATCTGAGCAACAACAAAGCTAGTGGAGGTGACAGTATTCCAGCTGAGCTATTCAAAATCTTAAAAGACGATGCAGTAAAAGTGCTACACTCAATTTGCCAGCAAATTTGGAAAACTCAACAGTGGCCACAGGATTGGAAAAGGTCAGTTTACATTCCAATTCCAAAGAAAGGCAATGCCAAAGAATGTTCAAACTATCGCACCATTGCACTCATTTCACATGCTAGTAAAGTTATGCTTAAAATCCTACAAGCTAGACTCCAGCAGTATGTGGATCGAGAACTACCAGAAGTACAGGCAGGATTTCGAAGAGGCAGAGGAACTAGAGATCAAATTGCCAACATACGCTGGATCATGGAGAAAGCTAGGGAGTTCCAGAAAAACATCTACTTCTGCTTCATTGACTATGCAAAAGCCTTTGATTGTGTGGATCACAACAAATTGTGGCAAGTTCTTAAAGAGATGGGAGTACCAGACCATCTCATTTGTCTCTTGAGAAACCTATATGCGGGTCAAGAAGCAACAGTGAGAACCGAACACGGAACCACTGATTGGTTCAAAATTGGAAAAGGAGTCCGGCAAGGCTGTATACTGTCGCCCTGCCTATTTAACTTATATGCAGAGCACATCATGAGAAAGGCAGGGCTAGATGAATCAAAAGTTGGAATTAAGATTGCCGGGAGAAATATCAACAACCTAAGATATGCAGATGATACCACTCTAATGGCAGAAAGTGAAGAGGAACTAAAGAGCCTCTTGATGCGGGTGAAGAAGGAGAGTGCAAAAGTTGGCTTGAAACTCAACATTAAGAAAACCAAAATCATGGCATCCGGCCCTCTCAATTCCTGGCAAATAGATGGGGAAGAAATGGAGGTAGTGACAGATTTTATTTTTCTGGGCTCCAAGATCACCTCAGATGGGGACTGCAGCCAAGAAATTAAAAGACGCTTGCTCCTGGGGAGGAAAGCTATGGCAAATCTAGACAGCATACTAAAAAGCAGAGACATCACCCTGCCAACAAAAGTGCGTATAGTCCAGGCCATGGTTTTCCAGTTGCAATGTATGTCTGTGAAAGTTGGACCATAAGAAAGGCTGAGCGCCAAAGAATTGAGGCCTTTGAACTATGGTGCTGGAGAAGACTCCTGCGAGTCCCTTGGACTGCAAGGCGTTCAAACCGGTCAGTCCTAGAAGAGATCAACCCCGACTGCTCTTTAGAAGGCCAGATCCTGAAGTTGAAAGTCAAGTACTTTGGCCACCTAATGAGAAGGAAGGATTCACTGGAGAAGAGCCTAATGCTGGGAAAGATTGAGGGCAATAGAAGAAGGGGACGACAGAGAATGAGATGGCTGGATGGAGTCACTGAAGCAGTAGGTGTGAATTTAAATGGACTCCAGAAGATGGTAGAGGACAGGAAGACCTGGAGGAACATTGTCCATGGGGTCGCGACGGGTCGGACACGACTTCGCAATTAACAACAACAACATTCTGACTAGAATACTTTCTCAAGTATCTCTTGTTGCCTGGCACATTAGAAACTGTACTTACAGTACTTAAAAGTTCAATTATTGCTTCATGACCAGAATTAACCAGAATGAAAGGAACTGTATTTTGAAAAAAATTGCTCTCCCATGGCATTCATTTACATTTTAAGTATGCATGTAAATATATGTATTTATCTTACAAACGCATATCTTACAAATAACCCATAGGGTTCAGTTATTGAGTTTTTCATAACCCATGTTTCAAAAATCATATTTTAACTCTTTCCTCATATTGTATTTAACATTACTATGAAAGTAAAATAAAGAAGGAAAGGAACCATAGATTTGATTATAATTATTTATGGCTTCTACTTATTAGGGAGAAGGTGAAATATAATGAAAGTTGAGGAAAATTTTAAAAATTATGAAAGGGAGGTTAGGATAACTGCAGTATTGTACATTATAGGACAGTGATGGCGAACCTTTTAGAGACCGAGTGCCCCAAAACTGGCCCCACCCCCGTTCCACCCCCTGCCCCTGCCCTGATCCCCACCCCGCCTGCCCGCAGGGCCATTCACTGCCTCCAGGGCCCGCCACAGATCGCCCAGGCAGCCTAGCAGCACCATGGCGGCTATGCCCTCTACCCGCGCCCCACAGCATCAGCTGTGCAGGATGGGCTATGAGGGCAGAGTCTTGTCTATGCTGCCTGGCTGCCATATCCTTGGCTGCGCTGCTTCATGTGGGCCACACTTGGGGGCGACTCCTCCAGGGGAGCTGCTGGTGAGAAGGGAATTGTGGGGGGGAGACAAGACTGGGGCAACGGCGCATGTGCCCACAGAGGGCTCCAAGGGCCGCCTGTGGCACGCGTGCCATAGGTTTGCCACCACTGTTATAGGAGGTATATACCATTGTATATACCATAGTAATTTTTATTAAAATTAGCCAAAGGTTGCAATTATGTGCTTGTTTTAAAGTTAATCTGAATGCCTCATTAGGTTATAAAAAAATCAGCAAATGCCTACATTATACTTGTTAACAACATACAGTAGATGTCAGATTTACATCACTTCTTTTTTGAAGTCATCCTTGAATCATGTTATATAAACTGTTTATATTTTTATATAAATTAAAAAAATATGAATTATGAAGAAAGTAATATCTCAGTCACATCTAAAAAATGAGAGAAATCTTTCTGCATAAATTCTGAAGAGAGAAATGAAAAATGAAAATGAACTTGTGTGCAATAATATCCAGTTCCTTCTTTCCTCTGTTTCTGTTGAAGGATGGCACAACTGCTTTACTTAAAGCTGCAACCAAAGGATATAATGATGTTATAGAGGAATTACTTAAATTCTCTCCTGCACTTGGCATCCTGAAGGCAAGTTTTGAGGGAAAAAAACTTTGGAATGTTCAGAACTATAATTTATGACATATTGTAAAACAGAACTATAATGGATGCATTTATGCCTTTTCTGTACTTTCTAGAATGGGACATCTGCCCTTCATGAAGCAGTTCTTGGTGGCAATATTAGAGCAGTAGCATTACTCTTAGAAGCAGGAGCAGATCCATTACTTAAAAACAAGGTATCATACTTTATTTTACACTTGCTACACATTTTCAACTGTAAAACAATTGGGCACAGTATTTTAAATTTTTAACGAAAACATTCTGAAAATTCTTAGATGGTTAAAAAAGACATTGAGACTCTGGAAAGAGTACAGCAGATGAGTAGAGAACTGGAGGCTAGAACATGAAGAACAGTTGCAGGAATTGGGTATGTCTAGCTTAACGAAAAGAAGAACTAAGGGTGGCATGATAGAAGTGTCCCAATATCTAAGAGGCTGCCACAAAGAAGAGGGTGTCAACCTTTTCTTCAGAGTACCTGAAGGCACCACAAGAAGCAATGGATGGAAACTAATCAAGGAGAGAACCAGCCTAGACATAAAGAGAAATTTCCTGACAGTTAGAACAACCAATGGAATGGCTTACCTTCAGAAGTTGTGGGTGCTCCATCATTGGAGGTTTCTAAGAAGAAATTGGACAACTATTTGTCTGAAATAGTATATGGTCTCCTGCTTGAACAGGGAGTGCGACTAGATAGAAGACCTCCAAGGGCTCTTCTAACTCTTATTTTGTTCTGTTCAGTTCAGCTGGAAAATAAAAGCTATCCATTAGAGGGCAGCAGAACTTTTGGGAATAATTATTTGCATTCATTACAGTATGGTGTTGTTTCTGTCAGGACAATTTTTAGAAACTTTCATAATGTCTTAAAAACTACCGAATGTAGTACAGGTTTTCAATTACTGTTTCAACATTTTGTACTACTTTGGGGGGCAAAAGGCATAGTTTATAGATAAAATTATAAAAAATAGACATATTAAATGGGGAACGATCTAACTAATCCAAAATTAACATACCCTTCACATCAACAACTTTTCCTACCTGTAATATCTTCATTTTAACTGGGGAAGGCTTATAGCAGCTAGCCCCATCCATGCTAAAACCAAATTTTCAATCAATTCACAACTTCAGCCTCCCTGGATTAGCCCAGGATGACCTATGTGCTATTTTGCTGAAATTTATTCCAGATTATAATTGCCTTCTCATAGAGGTTTCATGTAAATTTTAAAAAGCATAATAAACTTTTCAAGCACTTTAAAGATCAATTGCCATTGAAGACAAAGGATTGTTTTGTTCTGGATTATTTCTTCCAAAGAAAATTGAAGTCATTTTGACTTCATACACATTACTACAATTCCAGGTAGGTAATTATTGTCATTTTTACGAAAGGCCAATGACAGGTCCAGGGAATTAAACGTAATCTGCCCATTCCTATGTATGTCATCTAACCTCAATCCCCTTTAATCACCTCATTTGCTAAATTTATTGCATGCTGGCAAGATGACAAACTCTGTAAGTGACTTACCTTGATGAGTGACTACCAGGCTGAAGAGTAAAAGAAGCAAGCAAAGAAAATCTTTCTGCAACTTTTTCGCATTGAAGAAGCTGAAGAAAAAGTTCAGCTCAAAGAAAAATTGGCTAAAGCACAGATGTGCAGCAAATGGCTGTGGTAGAAGCTGGGTCCTAAAAGGAGCCATACAAGTAGCAAAAAGCTTTCCAAAGGTTTGGAGGGCAGAAGAGAGTTTGGTTTCTACATCTAATTTGTGGGGGTGGGGGAGAGAAAAAGAATCAACAAGTCTGTTCCTCCCAACTTTATTAAAGAAATAAGGGAGCAAGTTAAGCGAAGAAAAGGTGTGGAGAAGCTTGTCCTGAAGCTGCCACCTCTGCATGCAGGTGGCTGGGTTTCCCAAAGCCTAGCAAGATCAAGGAGAGGTTTGCAGTCTCGTGACAGCCAGCTGATCAGGGCAGAGGTCCAGCCCACAAGTGACTTCATCAATCAAACACACAGGCTTATTTGGAAGTCTCTCCAACATTGGAACATGAGTCATAATTTAGCTTTTTCCCTGATTGGGCTGTTTTTGACTTTGCAACACTTTTTGTTGCTTGTTTGCTTCCCTTACAGAAACAGCAGGGTGGCAAGCTATGTGGCAATGACTTGTGTGTTCATTTAATGGTGGCATCAGGAGAGAAGGGGTAGGAGTAATTGAGGACATTCCACTTAATGGTTGTCACTACATGCAACCATAATGGGCAAGGTCCATTACAGTCATAGGTCATGAATTACAACTGATCTACAACTGAATGCAAATAATCCTGTTGATTTGTGCCTTAAACTTGGATATCAAAGCTAAGCAGTGACCATCCTTTTTCTGGTTTTTCACTGATTTGTTTCTTTTTCAGAAAAATGAATTGCCTTCAGATCTGACAAAAAATGAGCGCATTCTACATCTCCTGCAACCTAGAACAAAACACAGGAAGAGTTAATATCGCTTGACATCTTGAGATGATGAATCCTGTCCACATTAGGTCTCAAAGTTTGGTTTCCTGTAGAAGCAAAAAAAGGTTGAGATTCAAGTATTTCCTGTCTCCTACTCTGTGAACGAAGTCAGGTCCTTCATGGAATGGTAGATTTAAGATCTGTTAAGTTGTTATGGTCACCAAGTTTTAGTTGCTGGCTTTGGAGAAGAGAAGACTGGTTCCACATTATAGCTTTCCTGAAAAGCAGCTCTCATTCAACTAGAAAAAGACTCTCTTTGCTTTAGTATACTGTATACCTTGCAGTAAATTTCCTAATTTGTCTCCAATATTGTAATAAATATTAATGCAAGTGTGGAAAACATATACCTCTCCTACTGTTGCTGAACTATACCTCGCAACAACCAGATGAAAATTATGAGGGGTGCTGGGAGTTACACTTGTTTAATATCTTGCAGGTTATATATTATACTAATTGTTCTAACCATTTTTTTTAAAAAAAAATATGTTGCATAAGCTCTGTTTTCTGTTGGATATTTTAGATGTTGAGATACACAAGTGCCTCTCAGTAGGTTAGTGTCCTATGACGCATCTGGCTTCTTTGCAGTGATTAGACTATTATCATTTTACTTACACACACATACACACACACACAAAGAGAGAGAGAGAGAGAGAGAGAGAGAGAGAGAGAGACTCACAGAGATACAAACACATATAATATTGAATTTCCTTTTGTATCATTTATTACTGTTAACCTCAGAGACTTCTATGCAGATTTCCTATTATGTATGTAATTTTGTTTTTTTCTGTATTTTTTCCATTAGGCATATGTAAAATCATCACTCATAATATTTTTCATTTATGAATTACAATGTAAATTCATGTTTTATACATCTAGGAAAAGCAAAATTTACTGGTTGCGTTTTGTCACACATTTTATGCGTTACAACAGATTTAATGGATGCCAAATAGCTTTTGAAAATCTGCTGAATGTGCATTGGTAGCAGGCCAATAAAGACATGAAATAAGGATTAAACAGAGTTACTTTCATTTAGACAGTTCTGTGTAATGACCATTTCTCATGTCAGGACATGTTTGCCTGAATATTATTGACACACCTTTAACATGCTTCTTTTCTATTTCAAGAATCCTGGCCAAGTATGTCACAGTATCTATCCTATTTAAGTTAACTTGGAATATGATGCTTTTAGTTTGTGAATAATTTACTTTTCTCATTTTCCTTTTCTGGACATTTAAACTAACACAAACCTAATAACTTTATTTTCTATGTATTTTCTATTTAGCTATACTATATTACAGGGATTTGTCATCTTTATTTCAGTTATTTTGTTATGTCTACCATCTTTGTATTTTGTTTTATTACTAAGCATTCCAGTTTCTTTGGTTAAGACATTTCTAGTTCAATAATATTAGCAATATTTAAACATTTCTACATGTAGTATTCTTTTTTGTATATTCTTTTTTGTATAGTTTCTCCTGATTAATCAATATATACATGCCTTGGCAAGTTCTGCCCTATTTCCACTTCACACCAATATTTTAAACAATATATAACCCTTAAAAAAATGGTTTAAACATTTTTCACTTTGTGTTTGGTATCTTCTTCACATACTTCCCCAGAAATAAGTTCTCAAGCTGTTCTGTTTCTGATAGTATTGAATAGTTGAGATTCATTTCATTGTACTCACACATAGTTCATCTTTTTCCTACAAATATGAAAACTTCCAAATATTCTCCAAAATCTGCAATGAAATCTTTTTTCTTAACATTGTGTTCATATTTGGATATCTTCCACATCAAAAACAAAACACTTCTGACACACAATCATGAAACTCCAACTAGCAATCTTTTTTTTCCTAACCAGAATATATTTCCAACAGTCGTCTTGCTGACTTTTTCAGTGAAGCGGACAGACCTATACACTATTCATCAAGAATTACTGGTAAAACAATTCTGCAACTACCATTTCTTTGCAGGGTGAGGCTTTTCCATTTTTGCCTTTCTTTTGTCAACCTTTGTCACAGTCTTTTTTATTATTATTACAAGTATAACTTTGAATTGCCAATTATTGCAGTTGTAATAATTCAAGTGAAAAAGCAAATAAGGAATTTAATTTTCACAATGAAGAAATGATTACATTGAAATAATTTTGAGTTATTTTTAATTCAATTTATTTCAGTAGGTCTACTCATATGTACATATCCTATCAGATATAAGCCATTTCAATACATTTTTTTTACTGTCTGCTCCTAAAATAAAGCTAACTATATTAGTAACATAGTGCCTAATATATAACAATTTTACATCCACCTGTATATTAAACAGTAATCTTTTTTTCTTCTTTATAATTTATTTGGTGTAATTTTACAAAAGCATTTGACTTGAGTTAGGATATTATTCATCCATTATAATATACTATTTAAGTGCTCTCACCTACTAAATTGCTGTGTTAGATAAACATAGCAAAGTTCAAGGAAAGATTTTGGGGGCAGATATCTAGGGCCGTGCTCAGCATAATGAGGATATTTTCCAAATGATCTTTCTGATATGTGGAACACTGTTTTTTTTCTGAGTAAATACATAGATGACTGTTGTGAGTGAACTAAATACTGCTATCTAAAGAACCCTTTTCTCTGGAAAATCATTAAGCTCCAGTAAAATTATTAGGGCCAAAAAATAATTTCTTAAATTCTACGTATCTGAGCAGAAGTACTAAAAATCGTAATAACCAAGTACTGGTCTTCCATGATGTCTTCTTCCCTGCAACATATATTAGCCATGAAATACATACATATATATATTATGAACAATGCATTTATTTTTAGTATTTATGAGCCTTTGTATATTGGCTGTATTCCATTGACTGAAGATCAAGTTATAAGGCAAGTCTTATTGAATATATATAACACCAATTAGGATAATTGATGTCAATATATGGTGCCTTATAAAGTCTTTTTGTGTCTGATAATTGCAATAGCAAACTAAAAATAACTGTACAGTATGCAGTCTTCCTTTCATGTTTACAGCTATGTTAATTACAGATAAAACATATATCAGCACAAGGAGTCTTCAGTATAATTCTCAGAATGTTATTATATATAGCTGGACGTACAATTTATATCACCCACTTTGAAAATCAGTTTTTGTCAATTTCAAAGTCAGTTTCTATATTTAGGAGAATAACTTTGGATGAGGTTTAGAAAATGTGATTATCAGTAATAGAACGGGTTCAAAGGACAGTATCAAAATTCAGGAAGCACTAGTCAAGATGAGTCAATGGATAGAAAATAGTAAGATGAATTCAGGAAGTACAAATGCAAAATCTTACGTTTGGGCAGGCAAAAAAATCAAACTCATCAGGATTGGATGAGCTACATAGGGTAACAGTACATTAAAAAATGATGGGTATCTTGGTGGATCACATAAACCAAAAGTGTGATGCAGCGGCAAAGAAAGAAATAATTAAAAGAAAATAAATGCAATCCTGGGCTACACCTGCCGGAAATATAGTATCAAGATCAAGATAAGTCATAATTCTCTAGCTTGCATTGATTAAGCAAGACCTGGAATATTGTGTTCTGTTCTGAATACCGTACATTCGGAAATACATTGACAAATAGAGTGTATCCAAAAAAAAGCAACCAAGAAACAGGTAAGGGGAATAGTTGGAAATTTTGATATTTTTAACCCAGAGGAAAAAATAGGCAATGATTAATCTGTCCTGGAACTGGATAACTTCTAAATCAATATTTTTTTAAGATATTTTATTGATTTTTTTTAACATAAATACCTTAATATTTGGTAAACAACTTGTTGTCTGGGTTTATATTTACAAAGTAATCATTAACAGTTAGTTTCTATATTCCAAAATCCACATAATAGCTTTGCTTTATTTTCTCTTCCTCCAATAATAATCTCTTTGCAACCTTAAATTAATACAATTCTTATTAATTTGATAGGTAACAATTAAGTATAAAGATTTTTCTAAAATTTCTATCAATAATAATCACATCAATATCATGCTTCTTTTCTTGGTCATCTTGGTTGCCTTGTCATAAATCCTGTTTACAATTCTTGTTTAAATTTATTTTCCCTACAATGTTCAAAATATTTCTACTGGTTAAAATTTTCCCAGAATTAATTACCTTAAAATTTTTAAATCTATTTTCATGTCTTAAAAAATAAGTAAGAAAAAGACACAAAAGAAAGGTATAGAAAAAGAAAAGACGTGAGAAAAATAAAAAAGGGGGAAAAAAGAAAATAATATACTACTTAAAATACATATCCCTCTTAAGCTAGTATACGCCTATTTCCAATTTTTTTCTGTGCTCTTTACCCATAATTAAATCCAATCACCTAATCTTTTAACTCTATTCAAAACATTTTTCCTCATTTTTAGTTATCCATTGAAATTTTCTTAAAATCAGTTATATTTAAATACCGTATATGCCGGCGTACAAGGCGACCCGGCGTATAAGACAACCCCCGTCTTTGTCGCCGAGCCGCATTCCTAGAACGTCGTCTTATATGCCGGAAACTACCAGTATTTCTGGAGTATAAGACGACTCGGCGTATAAGACGACCCCTGTCTTTGGCGCCGACTTTAGCGCTTGTGAAAGTCGCCTTATACGCCGGCATATACATTTCCTTTATGTTGATCATCCCACACATTTTTATAGTTCTCATATCGAAAAACAAAAGAAAAAAAATATTATCTTACTTGGAGGGTTCATCCCTCTTAAACTAAAATCTTTCTATTTCTTCAGCCATATTCAAGCAAGTGTTTAATTTTTAAATATTCCCTCTGATATACCCCATCATCTAATTCCTCAATTCTCACTTTAGCCCTCTTTTTTTGCCAAGCATCTTTCCCAATCAATATATTCCGTTGCATCAAATAATCTTTCCATAATCTTGTAAATCTTGTTGTAGATATAGTAGGCAAATCAAACATCACGTCTTTGTAAAAAGATTTTGCCCGTTCATATTCATTGAAGATTTCTCTCATCATCCCTTGTCTCCCCGTTTCTTCTGGTACTCCCAACAGCTCAGCAATCCATTTTGTCAAATCTTTTTCCCTATCCTCAAATTTACTTTGTGGTCTTAGAGTACAAGTTATCTTTTCCATTTTCAATGTTTCTTGTGGTCATTCTCCACTTGAGTCTCCACTAGCTTACATTCAGTTGTCTGCTTTACCTGATCTTTTGTTTTGTTTTGTTTTCTGATCATTTGATTGTTGTGATGTTAAATTGAGAATGCATTCATTTAAATTTTCAAATTCATTTTTAATTTCCTCATGGTTTGAAGTTAATATCATTTGCATTTGTTGTAACAGAACATACATTTCCTCCTGGTAAGTATTTATTTTTTTCTTGGTATGCTCTTTCTGCAGATCTCTGATGCTCCATAATGACCAAAAATCCTTTCTCTGCCAATCACTTTAAAGTCACAATCTAAAAAATATTTATAATCCAGGAAGGTCAATTTTTTCTAAGTTTTATAATTCTCACTTTGTAGATAGTCCACAATGTTTTATTTTGTTACAGCTGCTCTTTGTTTAATCAAAGCCCTGAAGGTCATGACAACAGGCTTTTCTTTCTGGGCTGTATATTTAGGGCAGTATTTCATCCACCACTAGATGTCCATCTTTCAATTTTCTGTATTTTTATCCCCGAAACTTAATTTGCTGCTTCTGTTTAGAGGAGGGTGGAACAAAGACCCCCCCCCCACTTTCAGAGAATTTTTTACCTCTGGGTTTTTTTTCCCTTAGGAAATCAGTCAGGTAGAAGAGAGAAAATCAATATTCTTACCCAGTTCAGTCACACTGTTTACAATCATGCTTAGTTTAGTTGTTTTTGGGGGAGGGGAATGAGTTGAACCAGTGGTAGCACTGCACAAGTCTGAGCAAGAGATGGCTGGAGCTGCAGGGCTGTCAGTGCTCAGTGGAAGTGCCAGGATCAGTGCCAGGCTCCAACTGGAGCTTGGTGCTGATCCTGGCACTTCTGCTGAGCCCCG